AGATTCTTGACAAATTCGGTTGATGTGGTTTGCTTTGAACCTTGAATAATGAAATCAATGGTTTATAGTCCTCAGGTAGTCCTCCCAAAATTATGCCTCCAACTACACTATATTTCAATGGCTCACCAATATTTTCCAATGGCTCGGCTATTTTTACGATTTTATCAACATATTCTTGCATGGATGAACATTGGTCAAATTTTGCTTTGAACAGACTTGCAACAATGCAAACCTCACCACTGTCTTCGTACGTTTTCCTCAGATTATCCCATGCTTCCTCAGATGTTCGAGCCTTTTTTGTCTTTGCTATAGCTGAAGGTTTGAGAGATTCATCCAAAATTTCCAGTCGTTATAATTCGTTCCATCCAAATGTTTGCACTCGGATAGATCACCAACTGAATTAGAAATAACGGTGGTAGTTGATCTACTAGTACTTCTCTGTTCTACTTGGGCTTTGACTAGCTCTATTTCAGCAGCTAGCCCTTGAAAATCCTCAATCGGAGATGATTCTCAAGAAAAACATATTGTTTCTTGATGGGTGTCAGAATATTTTTTATTTTTGGAACCTGTCAAAAATATTGATATTTTCTCGGATATTTTCGATGAGGGTTTCACTTGCTGAATTCCAACTGTTCGATTTTATGTTTTAGATATTCCTGGGCCCATAACCTGTTAGCAGAGTGTGTGAGAAAATATTTGAAATATCTTCTGATATGAAAAGTACAACTTGGGATGAATGTTATTTATTAGCTTCTCAAATTAAACCCCTTGTCTTATGTACAGTACATATTACATAACTGATTTCTCCAACACATCCCTTCTGACCTAGAAAGGAAAATCATCAAAAATATAATAAAATATATGATAGTCATTTCTCATGAGAATGAAGTTTGCAGCATGAGTCATAGGCGAATGCTGCAAATCATATAATTTGGAAATTAGCATTCCCTGCGAGTTATACACTATATTTTTTTTATCGCTGTAACCGAGGCTGTAACAGATAATAGGGAAATTTTTGATTTCTTCGGCTTGTAGCCATCTGATTTTCTTTCGAGTAAATCTCTATCAGACAAAGCTATCATAGCTGCAAATTTGACATTCAATGGGAGATGACATTTATTGAGCAATAATAACACAATGAAGTGATTGTGTTATCAGGAGAATAGTAGGCAATTAGAGTAGGTACACAATTTTATAACAATATGTCAAAAAAAGTCTTCAAGAAAGTTATACGTGAAAATAAAATATGTAGGTGTAGTTTTCAAAAATGACAGAAACTTAAAATTGTTTCAAAAGAGAACTGAAGGTGATGGACCCCCATACAACCTTCAAAACCTTGCTGGAGTCAACTGGCATGGCAGATATTAGTTATATTCCAGGAATATCAGAAGCAGGTGTGCGAGGGGTAGATCACTGGAGCAGTCCGGTGTACCTTCTTTTGGCAGTCCGTGGCAGTCCGGTGACAGTCAGGTGGTAGTCTGGTTTCTCGTATTTCAGTGGCGACAATAATAATAAACTCAAGCCTAAACTCGAAAAATCAAGATGGCATTTGCAGGGTGGCGAGCGACTTTGTTATTTATTCTTCTGTTTGCCTGAAAATGTACAGGTCGCTTTGTAAGGTGGATGCAACTCTGGATCTTTCATCTTGGATCTTACATTCCATCACCTGTTCTATGGATCTTAAATATTTTTAAAATTGGAACGTTGCCGCTTCTATCAAGAAGTCCTAGCAACTTCATTTTTTGAAATTGATCATTTGTATATTATTGCAAATTTAGATTCTTCCTTAAGAGCTAATTTCATCATCACATCTAGCTAGCAGGAATGACTACACAGATCGAGATTTTTAAACTTCGGTATTTTTTTGTGCCGAAACTATTCATTATTGTTCAAAACGGTTTACATGTCCCTAACTTTTCTATCTACAGAAATTCAATTGGAGCGAATATGGGGTGGTTCAAGATTCAGAATTCTGACCAACCTTCATCTGTTCCAATCAGAAGTAAACCGATTTGATCAATAATAAATAGTTCTGGCACAAAAATCTTGAAGTTGAAAAATCTCGATCTCTGCAATCATTCCTGCTAGCCCCGAGTGTGATGTAATGATGAACGTCGCTTGAGTCACCTGTATATTAATATGGAATTTATACACATTATCAAGTAACATTAGAGGAACATACTCATTGAAAAAAAACTCCCATCCACGGGTATTTTGAAAAATAATTTTTTTTTCGAAATGCGAAAAAGGGGGGCCTGTGGGGTTAATTCTTGCCCGACAAAATATTGTGAGATATACACATTATCAATTACCATTAGAGGAACACATTCATAGAAAAAACTCCCATCCACGTGTATCTTGAAAATATTATGTTTTTTTTTTCGAAATTCCAAAAAAGGGAGCCTGTGGAGTTAATTCTTGTCCGACAAAATATTGTGAGATATACACATTATCAAGTATCATTAGAGAAACACATTCATAGAAAAAACTCTCATCTACGTGTCTTTTGAAAGTCATGATTTTTTTTTTCGAAATTCCAAAAAGGGGGGCCTGTGGTGTTGATTCTTGCCCGACAAAATATTGTGAGATATACACATCATCAAGTACCATTAGAGGAACACATTCATAGAGAAAAACTCCCATCCACGTGTATTTTGAAAAAGTTATGATTTTTTTTCGAAATTCCGAAAGAGGGGGCCTGTGAAGTTAATTCTTGTCCGACAAATTATTGTGAGATATATACAGATTATTAAGGACCCTCAGAGGAATATATTGATGGAAAATAGTTTCATCCACGAACATTTTTGGAGACTTTAGTAATTTCATGTTCAGTCATGAATATAAATTGATAATAAACTCGTGGCTGGTCTCACACTGATTCGTAGATTTGTGTTTCGGAGTGGTAGCCTGAATTTTAATTCTCGAAAAAAGCTGATGGCTTGATCATTACACAGGGAAAAATAAAAGTTACTCTTTCGCCCTTAACTTCTTAACGCTCTGCGGCAAAGGTGAATGGTAAAACTCAGCTTGTTTATGTTTTGGATTCGAGTGTGATCTCTTCTTAACACAATAGTTTTTTATTCACGTCAATATCACCTTTTTAAAAGAAGATACAGGTGTTCTCAGAAAGTTTGAAAGTTCTTAATTTTCATCAACATTAATTCAGAACCTATAGTGCATTCTTCGGGATGAACTCCAGTGGCTCATTCGCTTTCGTATGGTCTTGTCAGTAACAGGTACGATACGCCCTCTACGAAGAATTTTAGGCCATTCATCAAGACTGTTTGAGAAATTTGATCAAGTCGATGTGAATACTGTAATTCAAGTTCGAGGAGGGCATACTTGTCATTGACTAAGTAGATTCAGGAGGTCTGCGTTTCGTTGGTTTTTAGTAATCGCTAAAAACCTGAGTGGAAATAGGTGATATTAATTTTGAGATGTTTTTCCAGTTCTTTATCGATAAGTTCATGTATTTTCTGCAAATTTGAAAAATCCATATTTTGTTAAAACACTTGTATCTTTTCTCAAGAAGAAAATATTGACGTGAATCAAAAACCATTGTATTGAAAAAGGTTCACACTTCAATTCATTACATGATGAACTCAGTTTAATCACTCACTTTTGCCTCAGGGCGTTGAGAAGTTCAGCGTGAAATAGTAACATTAGTTTTTGCCTGTATAATGATCAAGTTATCACTTTTTTTGTGTCATTAAATTCAGGTTAACATTTCGACACATAAATTTACAATTGGGTCGGACAAGAATTGAGATAGTTACACTAGTTACAGGGCGATCAACATGGCCTATTTTACCACAAGGCACATAAGGCCCGGGCCTTGGGCCCGGTGTAAAGGGGCCCCGGAAAAGGTTGAAAAAAATTATTATTAACCATTCCAATTTAGAGTTGATTACCGAAATAAGCCGTATCTGATGAATGAAATTCAATAAAATCAGATTTAGATTAGTATTAAAGTGATATTGATATACAGAGTGTTCAGTGTACAGTGTTCCATAACAACTTTTGATGATATTCAATATGATGATATAATTAAGAGAACAAACTCAAAGTCTCACTCCAAGTAAATTTTGATAAAATAATACGTGCTACATGTTTCGACTCCTAGGAGTCTCATCATGTTTTCAATGGTTTTCCAAATTCCAAATAAAAAATATTATCTTTTCATTAGTAATTTTTCATTTTGTTCGTTATTGTTCCTCAAGCACAAGCAGAACTGCCTATTATTTTTTGTTGTTGTGTTGTTATTTGTCTTCGTATTCATAAAATATTATCGGGTTCTTGCTCGTTTTCATTTTGCCCTACCTAATTCATATTTTTGTTAAATATATAAGATTTTGCCAACCAAAATTATGAAAACCATTTATTATAGGTACCTATGTATAAGTAGGTACATACATAATGTACTTTCTTGATATGTGTGTACGCACCAACTGGCTATTGACATTACGAGAGGTCCTTCAGTACATGTGTGTTATTTGTAGGCTTGTTACTGCCCATACGCCATCATAGGCGCTGCACTGTTGATTGGAACGCAACAGTATGAAAATGTATAACTCGTTTTCAAATGAAAATTCTCTGCTGTCGGGTTGGATCCAGAAAACTTTCGATGTCGTATTTCGCCGTCCCATTTATCAATTAATGAATTTGAAATTGAACTTTCATCAAACTTTTTTTTTCAATATCATTAAACAAGAAAAAAACTAAAGTTTCCAAAGATGGGCAGGAAAATTCTTATTGGAAAGTCATAAAGGATATTGGGGGTCCGCAATTTTGCACGGGCCTTGGGCCCAAGTGAATAAAAAATAGGCCCTGGCGATCAATTCGGTTAATTATTCTGCTGGCCGGTTTTTTTTGCCAGTGAGTTTACCTATAGATAGGATTGTAATGTCTTTGTAAGCAATAAGTAATCTATCTATCTATCTATCTATAGTCTTTAGATAATTCATTTCTTCAGTTCCAATCGAGATGTATTTCTATTTCAGAGTGGAGTGTTGAATATCAATCTTGGAGAATATGGAACATATGTGATAAATAGGCAGTCTCCAAACAAGCAAATTTGGCTGAGTTCTCCAGTCTCGGGACCAAAACGATTTGATTTCATCAAGAAAAATCAATGCTGGGTGTACAAACGCGATTCAATAACACTTCATAAACTTTTAGAAAGTGAAATATCTGCAATTTTAGGTGAGAGTATTGATATGTCTAAATGTGCTTACACAAACACGAATTGTTAGAAATTTAGTCGAATAAATCAGAATTATAAGAGAAATATCGATTATTGTAAATTTTTTTCTTATGCATTGAGTCTGCTGATTTTGGGACGAAAATTTAGATGTTTTCAAATTTCATAATTTCATGGGAATTTGTTCAGTATAGGCCAATAAAATGGTAATTTTTCGATGGATTGATTTCCAAGTTGGAAATTGTCTCACTACCTTCATTTGTCCCAAGTGTAAAGTGAGTTTGCACTATTCAAGGAGGTGGGCTTGACTTTTTTTTTCAGTTTTTTGCTTTCAAAATCCCATTGTATATCAAAGAAGGTTGAATTTTGGGCAGAATTAGTATACAATATTCGAATTCGGTTCATTATACAAGGTGTCCCAGTACAACGCACTATGAATTCTACAGGGTGAACTAGACAGCAAAATAAACTGATTGAAATCAACTTACCTCTATACAAAAATGAGCCGTTGAGCCGTAGGAGGGCGATGCAGAATAATTTTATTTACAGATATTCCTGATTCATATAGTAATGATACTCCAAGTCGTCTCCACAATGTTTAATATATCATCAAATGATAAATGGAAAGGGGACATGTTTCGGATCTATAGAGTATCCATCGTCAGCAGATTGAGAAAATTATTATGGAGCAAAAACAATTTTTGGATTCACATAGTTACAAAAAAAAATATATTATGAGAATTTAATGAACGTTTTTTGTTATTATAACAGGTTTTCTAAACAGGCGCCCTGTGCCCCGATGAGCCAGTGGAATCGCCACCTTGGGAGGCCGAAAGACATTCAAAAATGAAAAAACGTATTCATCTCCTGATTATTTTGAAATCCTTGAGAGGTACTGCCATAAAATTCAAATTTAATCATCTACAAAATGGAAGTCCAATTGATGTCCATGACCGTCATGCTGCCTGATGAATACAAAATGAACATCTAATGATTGTACAAATTCAGATGTCGGTTGTATATTTACAAAAAAGATGTCCAATGGATGTCCATAAAAATTTTGTTGCCAGATAGACACAAAATAGACATCCGATGATTGTACAAATTCAGATATTCACCTTGCACCTACAAAATGGATGTCCAACGGATGTCCATGGACATCCCGGCCCTGATGGACACATAATGGACATCCAATGGACACACATGTGATGTCTGGGACAAGAATAACTATAGAGGAGTTCACGAGGATTACATAACATTATCAGCTCCAACCCTAGACAACATATAGTTATAAACTCAGATATGTCATACTGTTCTCGATCAGGTTTAGGAAAAAGGCATTTCTGATCACAATGCACAAGATATTTATCTGAACAATTTGATTCATGAAAATTTTCAGAATAACAGCTTTTAAGAAACGCGAATTTTCTACGTCCGAAATAATGTAAAAGTTTGTAACATAGTATTGGCAAAGTGGACTGGTCTCTTTTTGAAATCAATGATGTGGACTCAGCTATAACACATTTCTATCAGGAAATAATGATAACTCATTAATTGAAAAATGTTTTCCGATCAGTAACAGTGAGATGTGGTGATCGAATGAGTTTCAATGGATGAATTTCGAAGGGACCGAATCAAATACTCATGTAAAAATGAACGTTTTCTTGCCAGCTTGAAAAAATACCTACCCCAAAAGATTCCACAATATTAACATATACAGTATCTTTCAAAAGTATCGGAACAGTCTCATATTTCAGGAACGGCTTGAGAAAAATTCACGAAATTTTCTACAGGGTGATTATTGATGATGTCCGATTCAATGGTAGCATCGGCAATGTTGCCAAATTTACAGTTTTTCAGATATTAGGAGTAACTTTATTTTTTCATATGGAATACCCCATTTATTTTTATTGCAATTAATTAAGCGCCTCCTAATCACTTGAGTTCCTGAATATCAGATTCGTAATTAACGTGATTTTCGAAATATGACAACATAGCATTTTCGTTCAAAAGTCTGGGAACCTTCAAATATTTTCAATACGGTTCAAGGAAAATTCATGAAATTTTATACAAGATGGTTTCTGATGATGCCCGATTCAATGGTGATATCGGCAATGTTGCCAAATCAATAGTTTTTCAGATATTGAGGGTAATCTAATTTTTTTAAATAGAAAAAGTTGTTTTATCAAAAACCATTTTGTATAACATTTCATGATATTTTCTCGAGCCTTTATGAAAATATTGGACCGTTTGCAGACATTTCAACGGAGCATGTTCCCATATTTAAAAACCACACTTATTTAAAATTTGATATTTGAAGACATAAGTAATGAGGCGTCGCTGAATGTATTGCAATGAAAACAAATAGGGTATTCCATTTGGAAAAATTGAGTTACCCCCAATATCTGAAAAACTGTTGATTTGGCAACATTGCCGATATCACCATTGAATCGGGCATCATCAGAAATCATCTTGTATAAAATTTCATGAATTTTCCTTGAACCGTATTGAAAATTATAGAAGCTTCCCAGGCTTTCGAACGAAAATGCCATGTTGCCATATTTCGAAAACCACCTCAATTTAAAATCTGATATTTGGAGACATAAGTAATGAGGTGTCGCTGAATGTATTGCAATGAAAACAAATAGGGTATTCCATTTGAAAAAATTGAGTTACCCTAAATATCTGAAAAACTGTTGATTTAGCAACATTGCCGATATCACCATTGAATCAGGCATCATCAACAACCATCTTGTCGCAGTTTTCATAAATTTTCTCTGAGCCGTTTCTGAAATATGGGACCGTTCCAGAACTTTTTAACGAAAATGCTATGTTGTCATATTTCGAAAATCACGTTAATCACGAATCTGATATTCAGGGACTCAAGTAATTTGGAGGCGCTTAATTAATTGCAATAAAAATAAATGGGGTATTCCATTTGAAAAAATAAAGTTACTCCTAATATCTGAAAAACTGTAAACTTGGCAACATTGCCGATGCCACCATTGAATCGGACGTCATCAATAATCACCCTGTAGAAAATTTCGTGAATTTTTCTCAAGCCGTTCCTGAAATATGAGACCGTTCCGATACTTTTGAAAAATACTGAAAAAACAATTCAGCAAAACAAATATTTTACAAAAACTACATCAGCGGGGTCTACGAATCAAATATCCACAACGTGGAATATATTGAATCGCATTTATTCATTTTTTTATTCGATGCTGTAAACTCGGTCGTACCTACCTACCCCTAGCAAAAAAGAATTCGATTATTATCTTTGCAAATGCTACTACCAAAATAATTAGCCATTCGACTTTTCACATCTGACAGAAAAACTATAGTAGACGGAATAAAAAAAATTGAATGAAAAAGAATGAACTGATGGGTATGACCGAGGGGTGAATCTCCTTGGAAATCTGGTACACTCTCCGTTGGAAGTCTTTGGAAGTTTCTGGATTTCTTTGGAGGTCTTTGGAAGTCTCTGGATGTCTTCGATAGTCATTAACAGTTTTTGAAATCAAAAGGAAATGATTCATTATTGCATTTTTTTTGAATATAGGAATTGGCGAGGGAATGATATGAACAAATAACTTCCAATTGTTGGTGGGATAGACACATATCCATCGAAAGACGAGTGACCGACATCTTTTGTGTTGTTCTTGCAAAACTTTAGATACTTTTGTTCAACATTTTTTCGCTAGTGCTACAAGTCGTGTATCAATGAATGTCTATTGATAAAACCATAAAAATGGACATTCGAGGAAAGAGGAGCTGAAAGGTAGGCCTACCGCATTTCCTTCGAATAAAAATTTCCCATTTTATTTTCAAAATTGTTGTTGCCACATCGTAGGTATATTCGCATAATAATCGTTCCATTTCAATTATAGTTCGAGGAAAGAGGAGCTGAAAGGTAGGCCTACCGCATTTCCTTCGAATAAAAATTTCCCATTTTATTTTCAAAATTGTTGTTGTCACATCGTAGGTATATTCGCATAATAATCGTTCCATTTCAATTATGTATTGAAGTACAATAATTGGAATAGACGTGCCTCTCTTCACACAGCTTGACACGTTTCGTTTATTAGAATCACATTGGAATATTGAACACAAACAAAGTGATTTCGAATCATGTTCGCAAATTTTCATTTCTACTAATGATGAAATGATTTGTTTCTCGAAATTTCAGTGTACAGCTTCAGAATTAGTTGAAAATACACAAATGGCACCGAAATACTTCGGTCCAAGTATTTCTAGGAATTCGAGCCAAAATAATAGAAAAGTTCCAATTTTTCAACAAATTCTACCAATTCATTATAATAATAATAATAATAATTATAATAATCGTCTCCATTATTTTCAAATAGATTTATACATACTAATATAATATGATGGTATATAAAAAATACATAAATATGTTTGAAAATAAAGGGTGATTGGGTACTTGACGCAACCAAAAATATTCATCTACTTAACCCGAAAAAAGAGACGTGTTTGATTTTTGATATATACAAAGATGAAATTGAAACTAATTAGGTAGAAGTATACAGCTCAAGTTATCGCAAATGCATCTCCCACAGAGAATTCTTTATCGCTAAATGAAATCATAATTATTGTAAAATAATAATGAAATCAAGCAAGATAAGAAAGATAAATGTTAAAATAAATGTTGCTATACACACAGCATGATGGATAATGAATCCTATATGAAATATGTTCACTTATATATACGCAAAACACGATCACACAAATTCAAAATTATATGAATCTGCTTCTAATGTTGATAATTCAAAAGATGTATCTTGAAGCTATCTTTGAATTTTTTGACATCATAGCTTTTAAGTTCTGATGAGATCGAGTTATTGTATAGGTTGTATACCTGGTAACTGAAGGAGCGTCTGAACATTTCTGTTTAAAAGGGAGGGACACTCAGTAACCCCAATTTCACGATGCAAATACGGAGGTTTTTTATTCACGATTACGCTATGACAGATTAGCAAGGTGTAGCTTCCTCCATATTCAGCCATATTCAGGCAAAGTGTAAAAAGCAGTTCAACACTTATGAGTGGATTACACAGCGCCTTCGAATTTGATCATTTACCGCGCTCTCTGACTGTGGGTACAAAGAAAATTACAAGAAAACGAAAAAAAATTGCAGTTCAGCCGACATCTGTGTCTCGGAGAAAAGTGAAGATAACAGGTAGGAGATCAATGCGGGCAGGAAGGAAATAAGTGGAAACATTTAGAGTAAAGAAGTCTAAAGCTCCCCATTGTCTTATTTAGTACTTGTGTTTGATAATAATATAGGACTCGGTGAGAATAAATCTTATAGTATTTACATCAGGTATACTGTATACTATGTCCGAATTTACGTTAACCCGGTAGTACATTTTGAAATTTAGTTCGTGTTATAAATATTTTTTTATTTGAACAATAAAAT